CCCCACGCCCGGAGCAACCCAGCCAGGCCTCCCCGCTCCCCCCAGCCCCAGCCCCAGCCCTGGCGCTGCCCGACCCCGAGGATACAGACAGCCGACGTGGTGGCAATGGCCAGGATGGTGCCGGTGGGGATGGATTTCTGGGCGTCGCGCAGGTCGCCCGAGCGGTTGGAGCCGGCCATGATCCCTGCAACACACAAGGGAGGGCACCCGTCTGCTGGGCACCACGGCAGGGAGCAGGGTGGCCCAGCTCGGCACGCACCAACCCGGCCCAGCATGGCCCAGCACGCGGCAGGTCCTTCCCTCCCAGCCCCGGTCCGCTTCCAGCTCCGCACCCAGCCCCTTGCACCCTGCTGCACCTTGGCCCTGGGTAAGCGGGGGGCAGAGCTGCACCTTGGGCGACAGCCCCACGCAGCAGCACACGCCTCTGCACGAGTGACACAGCCCAGTGTGCGCAGCTCTGTGCACACACACGGCCCCAGGGTGCGTGCACACACAGAGCCCTATACACGCACGCACACACACACATATGCCCACACATACATGCACCCAGCCCCAGGGGATCTGCCCAGCAGACCCACCGTGGATCCTGCCACCGTGGCTCACAGGATCAGGTCCTATCGCGCAAGCGAGCGCAGTGTGTTATCAGCCCTTCGGCTGACGGTAGCAAAGGGTGCTACCAGCACCTTCGGGCCCAGCAAAGGGTAGCCGCAGCGCAGCGGCCGAGCTGCCCCTGCCCCCACCGAGCAACGTCCGCCCTAGCCCCGGTGCCAGGGCCGGCACGCAGCCCAAGCCCTGGGAGGCCGGAGGGAGCTCAGTGCAAGCATGACCCGGAGCCGGCCCTGCCTTCCCCTCCTCCTGCTGCAGTGGCTCGAAGGCAGGCCAGACAGAGCCCAGGCCCTGGCGCATCCCCGCTGCACTGGAGCATCGCGGCGTGGCCTCAATTACTCATGGGGCACAAGGGCATGGAGCGGGCACGACCGGCCGCCAGAGCTGGCCTGGGAGGTGTCCGGCCCGGGAGGTGTTGACCCCACAGCAGGGGCGAGTGGGTCTGGCAGGAGCAGCGCAAGCCCTCAGGGCAGGGGCCGCCCGGCCAGGGCTGGGCACCAGAGACACTCAGAGAGGAGCAAGAGACTCGTGTGCACACACGCTCGGGCGCGTGCACACACGCAGCAGGCTGGATTGTGCAGGTCCACGCACACGCCCGCACAGGGCTGGCACACATGCACACGCACTCCCTGCACGTGTGGCTGGGCCCACGCGTGGCGGCAACTCCTACCTGTGACGGAGGGGAAGTAAATGCCCACTAGGAGGGTGAAGTACGAGGTCATGTCGCTGAAGACGTAGGGCTGGTCCAGGTCCACGGGGGCGTCGGAGGGGGACACCGAGGGCATCCCCTGCTTCTCCACGATCACGCCCTTGGCCAGGTACGTGCTCCAGAGGTTCTCTGCCGGCAGAGGGGAGAGCGGCTGCGTGACACGAGGGAGGCCAGCAGAGCAGGCCCCCGCCGACCTGGCCGACAGGTCAGCACGGACGGGCCGTGGGCTGGGCAATGCCAGGGCCTGGCCGGGCTTCACCATCTGTCTGGAGCTCTTTGCCACTGCGAGCTGCTACCGCTCCAGCTGCTCTGAATCCAGCTGTGCCCAGGCTGAGCCACACCCCGCGGCAGCGAGGTGTGCGGGCCGGTCCCCCCACCCCGCAGCACCCGGCCTTCGGGGCAGGAAAAATCCTCCTCCACCAAGCACGACTCCCGCAGCCAGCCCAGGCACCGCCAGCCCCATGGCAGCGCGGCCTCCGGACCCCGGCAGCCCGTGCTGGCTGACCACCCGCGCCCGGGTCTGAGCAGACGTCTGCAGCCACAGGGTGCAAGAGGGAACAGGGGTGGGAAGCAGCTTCCCGGACCCCCGAGGCTGCAGCCCCTGCCCCGCGGGGAGCAGCCGTGAGTCAGCGTCCGCCCTGGGAGCGCGCGACGGAGCTATATTTCCCCGCCTGCCCTCCGCACCCCTGTCGCAAGCAGCAGCTCCGCGCCCAGGCAGCAACAGCAGCTATAGATAGCGCCGGCCGAGCCCGGGCAGCGCCGCTCAGCGCACGGCGCCGGGAGCCGCTGGGCCTGGCACCACGCCCGCGATGCAGTGCTGGCCGG